AAACCTGATCCAGATCTCAATATGAACACATGAAGAAAGAAAAAGCAGCTAAAAGGCTCCAGTGTGTTTGTGAGGGCATTTCTGAGAATACAGCAGGAATGTAAAAACAGAAGTATGAGTAAAAGAGAAACTGAAGAGCTTTGACAAACTGATAGAAAATATCTGGGATTCACCTTCGGCTCACAGCTCTGGGCTAGGGGAGCGGGCGAGTTACTGAGGACAAATCTGATTCCATTTCTGAGTCCTGTAAGCTAAACGCGTTAGCTTGTTACTGAGTAGACGAATAGTAAATAAAACTATAAACATGGACGTGTTTCTCATAGCGCAACAACAACAAAGATCACCAATAAAAAATAATGTGGTGGCCACCACCTCAGCCTCCTCCTACGGTACAAATTTTTAAATCACAGCCTTGTTCTCGAGTTATTGTATTTGCAAACTTGGGTGTTGACGCCGCCCAACAACAGCTCATCAGCCTTTTATGGGCGAGGGTTAAAAAGGATAGGAGATGAATTAAAAAGGTCAGCGAGCAGCATCAGAAAACACTTTTTTCCTAAAATAAAGTTGTTTTTCATGGTCATTCATCGTCTGAGAATCACAACTTTAAAGTCTCTCTCTGCATAGACTTTGTTTGTTACATGCAAAGTCTGCGTAAAGATGCAGATTGGACAAAGCGAAACTGTGAACGCGTATCCACAAAACTTCTGTGAAACATTCACTTCACACTATGTTGAAAAAGCAAATCAGCTGATCATCATCAGTGACATCACTTTCCTGATGTCACTGACAATAAGAAATGGAGGACAAGCATTTGTATTCGCAATTTACAGATAGGTGGAGCGGCAAGATTGGACTTCACTCGGAGTTTGGAGAAGAGCCGTCCAGGATGTAGCGTGTTTTATAAACGTAAGAACCACTCCTGTCTCTAATAAATAAAAACTGATGTTTAGTCCTGAAATTATGTAGAAACAAATGACCTAAAACTGGGAGGATGCCAGATGTTAGGAACAATATCAGTGAGATGGAGTCCTGAGAAGTCAGGTATTACATACTACCTTATGAGGTGTGACCAAAAAAGCCTGAGAACGAGTCTATAAAATAAAAACAACCCGACCATATTTAATATGAAACAATCTCTTGGTCAATGTCATCATCTCAGACACATCCAGGTAGTTTTTAGCAGAGCAGCTATTTTTAGATGTCTTGCTGGAAGCCCTGTTTCCACATTAACAGACCACCAGATTTGCACTTTTCAGCTTCTCACAAATTAAAAACAGTTCAGACTTATGTCGACACAGTGAAGGAGACAGAGGAAGCTTAGGACAGCAGGACCTAGCAGGTCTTTAATGAAGCAATCTAAAAATAGCAGCTGTCTTGAAAATGGTCTAGAAGCGCCCAAGAAGATGACCTTACATGTGAATCAGTGACGGCTTTTATTTTTAGGGGCTCATTCCTGGAACGTTTTGTTTACCCCACACATATATGTGAATGCAGCGCTAGCCCTATGTAGCAGTCGCCCCCTTCAACCTGCAGTTTCTAATGCGAGATTCAATCACTGTAACGGAAAAGTTTATAAAAATAAGTTAAAAACATTTTAAGCCCCTTTGTTTAGCATCTCCAAGCAGCCTACAAATGTCATAAATGGTTTATTATAGACTATAAAGTAGCTGTAAGGAAATTTGAAGTGTCCTTATATTACAGCTCCAGATGTGCAGCAGCAGCAGTCTCACTGCAGCCAGTTACAGATATTAGTTATTAAACACATAAATGAATGATCCGTCCTTTAGGGGCAAAAGTCGGATCTTAGAGTAATTTTCTGTTTAAAACGCCACAAATAGAAACGCCACATGTTCCCGCCTCCCACAGCTGATTGCTTCATTAAAGTGAACTCTTAGTATAGTTTGGCATCGCTGGGTGTCTGTCACCACTTGATGAAGACGAGAGCAGCGAGTGCGGCGTAGCCGATGATGAGGAAAAGCACTTTGAGCAGCCGGTCCTGTTTCTCCTCCAGCTCTCGGGTGAGGATCTCAAAGAAGGTGACAAACAGGAAGGTTCCGGCAGCGAGTCCCTGCAGCACCACGGACACTATGCTGCCCGCCAGCGTCTGGGCCGACTCGATGCCCATTCCCACCACCATGCCCAGCGGAATCATCACGCTGACTGTCACGCCCAGCTTGGTGGCGTCCTTCATGCCGAGAGACGCCTTAGCTACGCTCACCCCAAGGGCGATGGCTGCCAGTGTCTCATGCACAGCCACGCCCAGAAAGAGGCTGCCCAGCTTGGCCCCGTCCTCCTGCAGGCCGAGCGCCAGGCCCTCGAATGCGGAGTGCGCAGACAGAGCGAGGACCAAGCTGACCAGCCGCAGAGGCCCCGCCCCCGCCAGCTCGGCCGGGTTGAAGTGTCCGTGGTGGTGTCCGTGGGAGCGGTGACCGCCATTGCTCGGGGAGCCCCGTGCTGAGGAGATAAAAGGGGTATCGTACTCAGAGTCGCTGCCGGCCTCGGAGCCGCCGGCGTTGAAAGTCTCGAGGTCGATGAAGGATGGCTTCTCCTTCCTGAAGGTGAGGACAGCCTGCTCTATGAAGACGGTGAGGAAGAAGCCCAGCATCATCATTGTTTCAGCCAGAGGATAATCGCTGCTGATCTTCAGCTGCTGGAACACATCGACCACCTGAAGGCGCAAAACGAAAACCACAACAATAAGCAGATAAAAGTTTATCGTTATCTTCGTATTCTGAAACAGGACGTCCTGATGGAGCAGTAGCTATGAAATACCAACGACAACACAAACTTTGCTCTGATGAGAACACAATTTACAAAATGAACTTTGTGTTTTATTTAATCAGACTAAGACTTGAAAGTAGTGGCTGAGCCCATGAACTCTGGAAAGTTTGGCTTCACTTTTAAGAAGCCAATGCAAAGTATGTGTGCAACGTGTGTTTACCTTATCTCTGACAGCAGGAAGCAGAGCATTGAAGCATGTTGCGAGGAACACGCCCCCTCCAAATGAATTGCACAGAGACAATGGCCTCCTGTATCTCTGTGCTCTATCACAGTCAACGAGCAGGAGACGTACTGGGACCAGCACACCAGCCAGCATAAGGCCGAACAAGCCCAGCAGGCCAAGCAGCTTGGCCACCAGGATCTGCATCCTGATGCTTCAGAGACACTAGAGCGAACGGAGCGGTGAACACAAACTCATCTCCTGTCTGCTGCTTCTGGTGGACTTTACTGGAGCTGCTGGGACATGTCTGCTGGTTTCAGTGGAGGAGACACAGGCAGATGTTGGTCTAAACACAAGAAATAAACACATGTTGCACTGGTCTGTGCTGGTATAATGCATCTAAAGATTCTGACGGACAAATATCCCCCACATATATTCACATCTTTCTTATACCTTAATTCATCTTTCTTTCTTAAGTTCAATGAGTCAGTTTAGTATCAGGACATTCATGTAACATTAAGTCAGCTAAACAGAGACAAATTAAACATGTTACTAACAGCAAACTACTATAAAATAACTTCTCATCTTTAGGTTTGGATTTTCTTTCAATTAAAAAGCACTACAGAAGTTTTATAGAGGAAGGTCAGAGGTCAAAGCCAGAGCCCCTGAGCAAGATGAAGTTACAGTTTAACCGGCATTGAATTCAGTAAATGTTCTCATTTTCATCATTATTTTTCCATTATTTTCCATGGCACCTGGTTTCATTCTGACCAGCGTTTAGCCAGAGACTTCCTGTTTCAATCACCAGAGATGAGCTCTGCAGTTGTTCTTTGTACCGCTCCCTCACAAAGAAACCATGAAATAAACAAAATGCCAGCAGGTCCAATCTTGTCATTATTAGTACAACATTAAATCCACCATTTCAAATGATTTTAAATAAGTTATGCATCATTTATAGAACAATGCTAATTTTTCTGTTTAGGTGTTCAGACAAAGTCAGCCACGTGTTCTAGTGGAGTACATTCATTAGAATGATTAGAATTTAAATAAATGCTCCTGTTCACGTGTATTAATACTACTTTACTATTATATTATTATGACATGAGGTTCAGTTAGATTTGCACAAAAACAGAAAAGTCCTTCAAAGACCTGCTTTTTAATTTCACAGCTTAAATACATTCAGAGACGGTAATTTTTCACTTTTATTTGAGTAAATAAGTTGAATCGGTATTTCATCTTCTACCAGTTTAAACAAAAAATACAAGTATCTGTACTTCTAAATGAGTGAAGACTGTATGTAATTATACCATATATATTATGGGGAACATATAAAAATATAGAGTTTATGCATTACCACCACCTGGAAGTCCTGCTCCTCACATACAAGGTCTTAAATAATCAGGCCCCATCTTATCTTAATGACCTTGTAGTACCATATCACCCTATTAGAGCACTTCGCTCTCGCTCTGCAGGCCTACTTGTTGTTCCTAGAGTATTTAAAAGTAGAATGGGAGGCAGAGCCTTCAGTTTTCAGGCCCCTCTTCTGTGGAACCAGCTTCCAGTTTGGATTCGGGAGACAGACACTATCTCTACTTTTAAGATTAGGCTTAAAACTTTCCTTTTTGCTAAAGCATATAGTTAGGGCTGGACCAGGTGACCCTGAATCCTCCCTTAGTTATGCTGCAATAGACGTAGGCTGCCGGGGGATTCCCATGATGCATTGAGTTTTTCCTTTCCAGTCACCTTTCTCACTCACTATGTGTTAACAGACCTCTCTGTATTGAATCATATCTGTTATTAACTCTGTCTCTCTTCCACAGCATGTCTTTATCCTGTCTTCCTTCTCTCACCCCAACCAATCACAGCAGATGGCCCCGCCCCTCCCTGAGCCTGGTTCTGCCGGAGGTTTCTTCCTGTTAAAAGGGAGTTTTTCCTTCCCACTGTCGCCAAAGTGCTGCTCATAGGGGGTCATATGATTGTTGGGTTTTTCTCTGTATCTATGAAGCGCCTTGAGGCGACTTTTGTTGTGATTTGGCGCTATATAAATAAAATTGAATTGAATTGATATTTTTGCATATTAATGTAATTTTAACTCTTATATCAAATCTTATATTAACTTTCGAACACTTTATGTACACCCCAACTTACACTACCAGTAAACTAATCAGAAGTATAGTAAAGTGAAAATAAAGCTGAAGTTTAATTTACTTGAGAGTTTCTTTGTAATGGAGCAACACAAAAAACAGCTGCAGAGGTCATCTCTTATGTACTGAACATGGAACAGGAAGTCTCTGGCTAAAATCTGGTTGGATGAATCCAGGTGCAGATGTATCACAGCTTAATCTGGCTGGTTTGTTAGAGTCTGCATTGTTCTTTTGTGAGACAATGCCAACAGTTAAATGCCTTTTTGGTGCCTTTTGAGTTTATTTCCTGGTTTTTCATTATTTCCTCCTAAAAAAATCAAGTGTATGATACACCCGTTTTATCCTCACCAGTTAATCTGGATCACCGGCGCTGTGCCAAAAACCTGACTGTCTGTCACAAAAGTATTATTTTCTATACGTTTTCTATGTTCAATGCTGTATTATTGCTTATTTTGGTAAACAGGCTGACGTCAACAGGATTTACAAAGGGGTTATATGTAAAACAAAGAAATAACTTGTTTTGAAAGACTGTAATATTGTACCTACTTTGTATTCTACATTAATTTTAATTCAGCCCTATTTGGGTTCCTAAAATCCTTCCATAGAACTGCTTTGTTACATTTGTCGCCATTCCTGCTGCACTCTTGGCCACATGTTTTACTTTTTAATCTCAATCTCAATGAGATTTATCACCTGAGTTGTTGCCTTAACACCAAATAGCAAATATGAAACAGTGGCTTTGCAGGTCACCTAAAGCAACACCTGAGTTTAGACACCACTCGTGCTATTAATACAACTATTATCAAATATCGAATTTACAAACTTAAATATAGCGTTTCGGAAAAGCTGTTACTGAGGGAAAAATGACCTGAATGTTAGGTCATTTGTATTGTCATATGTAATTAGAAGGTGGATTTTCATTAGTTTGTGGCAGCCATTAAAACGCGTTGTTGTCGCCTTTGACACAGTTACGACCTTTAGTCACAACACAAACACCGTGAGCTCTCTCATTGTGGAGATTACCCCATTCGCCGGTTTTTTTGTCCCACTGGTTTTATCCGTTTTTTATTTATATTAATATATAATATGATGCGGGAGAAAAACATGTCAAACCACCAAGCGGGAATACGTGCTACTTCCGGTGGGAAATTTCAAAATAAGACAACTGGGTCCTCCTTTACGTCCGACAGTCTAATCAATTTGTTTTTATTATTGTAATTCAGCGTCACAACTTGTAATCACGTCTTTGGTCCCACTTCATCAAGTGTGTAGAACAAAAATGAAAGTTTACACAACGCAAATAACCGCACTGTTTCCGTGCGAATACTGTCTAACAGCAGCTAACTTGACGCTAGCATTAGCTTTCTGTCATTTGTTCATGGGGGGCTAAAGAGGCTAACAAACCGGTGTGGCGCTCAGGTAGGGAAAGCAGTTGTTTTCCTTTGCTGTTCACGCTTATCAGCGGCTTTAGCTCCGAAACAACAAGATAAACCGCAAATATCACGCAAACACCGTGTTTACCTGTTAGAACATCCGCACTCATCTCCTGCAGGTGCACAATAATACTTCCGCGTTTACATCACGCAACGCAACCCCCCGGGCGTGATGACGTAGTCCACAAACAGGGTGACGTGCAGCGTCCTGGAGTGACAAAGGATGGAGACGCACGACCCCTGAAAGGACCAGCCGAAGGAAAATTTTTTAACGGATTTTTTTTCCTGTCCATGCATATTTTTTTTTTTAACATATTCCGTTATATAAAAAATATTCAAATTTGATATACGGGTAATTTCTTTAAAGTTTTCAAAAGTGCTAAATATTGTGTTGACCATGTTGTTATTGTTTTCGATTGGTGTGAAATTAGGTTAAGAGTAGTTATTGAATAAACTGGACTTCCTTGTTTTGTTTTTATTCCTTTGAGTCATGAGAAATGGCCAAACTATGGCATTCCTACTTCGGGTTTCCTTCTCACTATAATTTCTCCCCTCATAAATGTGTATGTTTTCCTGTAAATATATATTTCTTTCAATATTTTTTTAAGTCAACCCATCTTACATTTGACACTTAATTAATCTAGTCCAGTGTTTTATTGGACACAGTAGACTTCTACTTTTGGAACCAGTGTTTTCTGTTTTTTCTGGCTCTTGATTCGTCTTCTTGTGAATTTTTGTTATTTTAAATTAAATCAACACAACAACTCGGAGCAGCTATAAGAAGAGACTTCACTGAAGAAGAGGAGCTGCATTAGCTTTGCTGGTTGTAAATAGATAACCACACTTTGGACGAGAAGAGTAAAACGTTGAGATGGTCTTTTTATTTAAACTGTGTTCAAACAGCCTCCCTGGTGCCTCCTCAGAGCTTCGTGTGACCGAGGAGTCATTAGTTCATTTACACTAAATTAACCCTGACACTCATCCTCACACACATACACACACTCATACTCTGACACACCCATCAAAAACAACAAAAATGCATTTACAGGTACACTGTGTAGTTTCTAGAGGATAAGACTTTCCAGGTTTCTACAGTTGTTTAACATCTGGTGTCCAATATCCTATCAGAACTTCTCTGATTATTCTGCATTTGATCTAAAAACCACACAGTTGCAGGAAGTGGGTGGAGTTTTCGGTGACGTGCCTCCTGAAAGACAAGGGAGGACTCGCTTGCGCTCTCTCTTTCATGCAGGAATTAATCAGAGATGGAAAAACAGAACTTCTTTCGAGTCCTCCGAGTTATTATGATCCAGATCAGAAAGAAAAACAGGTCAGACAGTGCGTGCTCCTCCTCCTCCATAAACCCGTCCCGCCTGAAATAAATAAGGAAACAAAAATATAAACCCTGCCAAAAGGAGAATCAATAAAGTCACAGCTCCACATTACAGCATGAAGTTATGAACATCTTCATGTCTTGAAGAACACATTTTTTGTACTTGAGTGTGAAAATCTTACACGATCAATATGGTCACGCTGTATTTTCAATTATTAGTTTTTCTGTATCTATGAGGACTCACACTAAACACAGGCTATCAGGCAGAGATGTATGTTTTAACTGAATGTTTTTACAGCTGAAGGTGAAAAATATCTCATAGATCAGTGTGTTATAGTGCACATGACTTTTTAAATTCCAGCTTTCAGTGTCCTCCTCCTCCTCAGTACGTTTGCTGTTACAGGCAGATATTCAAAACTTCGTTCTGAGTTCGAGGTGAAGGCACTGCTAGATTTGCCTAAACATTGTGACCAATGCTGAGGCCTCTGTATTGTTAATCTGCTGATGACAGTGATCACTGACATGATAAAAAACATTTACAGGAAATAATGACAATGATTATGTTTCAGTTTCATGTGTACAAACACAAGCTAAGTTTAAGCTGCTGCTCTAAGTTTGTGCTAAGATTGTAAATATGTGCAGGAGTTCAGCGAATAGCAGTTATTATCAGGAACAATAGTGGATACATTAACATTACATTAAACTTTGATGTCTTTGTTGCTGTGGTTCCATTTTTATGATAGTTGCCAAAAACGCAAAGAAAGGAAAACAAATCACACAGACTGTGTAATTAAATAACTTCACTGTCTGAGCTTTTCTACGTTGCATGAACTATGCAATCATGCATGACTGGCTGTGACACCATCTGGATGAAGCTCATCTCATACACTGTGGATGAAGAACAGCAGACCTGTGGTGTGTTGAACTGAATTAGTGTGTATTTACTCTATGCGAGGGTCACGGCTGCTCCTCATTCCCAGAGCTGGGTGTCTGATTGCGCATTTGACTCCTCAGCTGTTCGATGAGTTCAGGGTTCTGCTGCTGCATCTGCTGAGCGAACTGCTGCCCTCTGCAGAAGCAAACAGAAAGGCAAAATCACCTGTTGTTCATCGACACCACCAGCTTTAAAATGCAGTCCCTGTGCTCAGGTACGTACGCCTGGATCAGTCTTGATAAATCTCCAGGTGCTGCGGCACTAGGGGCTGCTGGTGCAGGCCCAGGAGGCGGGGCTGCACCTCCTCCCCCTCCAGCGCCGCCACCTCCCATTCCACCATACGCTCCAGACATCATCCCGGACATCCTGGAAGATGGGACAGGAAGTTAACTCTGACAAACCACAGAGGAAGAATGGATTTCAGATGAAGTGAGACAGACTTACAGCTGCTGAACCTGAGGGTTGTTCATCAGAGACGAGGCCTGCAAAGAGACAAGAGCAGGATGGAAAAATTTACTGAGTAGAAACAGAAACTGTAAATACCTAAATTAAAAATAATGAGCAATGCTGATAAATTCTGAGAGTTCTCACTGTCTGTGTAAGCTGCAATTTAATCACTGTTCACATGTGTGTGTGTTTTTTTCTGGTCATTTCTGAAATTCTACTTATTTAAAGGAGTGTCTTGTAATTAAGAGAAAATAAAAAACACCAATGCTATGCGTGGCTGTTGAGTCAACAGAACTCATTATGTTGCTGTGTGATTGTATCTTTTAGAAATTAGTATCCAAGTGAGTTTTACCTACCAAAACTGACATGACACACACCAGCATTACATGTGCTGCAAGGACTAATAGGCATGTTATAGTTTCTGCATCTGAAAGGTTGTTAGCCGAGTGATGCAAACTTGGCCATCATACAGATTTGCTTTGTGCAGTTGTGTAATTTACTATTGAAAATAACCAAATACCAATAGCATGTAAATGCTATCAAAAACAGATTTTTTCTAGCATTTACAGGAGCAAGCAAGATAAAGTTAGCCACCTACACCGCACCGACATGTTTACTGTCAGTTAGGAAAGTTAGCCGATAACGTATTTTGCCAAAATCAGGAGACCTCATTGACTCAAAGAACTATATTGCTGTATGAAACAGGATTCGATTTTGTGTTCGCAGAAAGACAAACAAAGACAGCTCAGGTTGGAGTTTGTGTGGCTTCCATGAACTGAGCTTCACTGCCCAAAACTGGCTTTCTTTCTGCTAAAGTAAGCCACACTGATAACGTGGTACCCAATGCAGCATGTTGCTGGCTAACCTTCACTTGCTTGCTTATTATCAAAATGATTTCTGAAGTCACATGACTTTGTGCTTTTGTATATTAGAGGCAAACTCTTAGAATGTGGTCTCATCAGCGTCTTTGCTCAGGCTTTTCTAAACACTTAGTTGGACGTCGTTATAGTCAAAATGTACAAAGGACTTACATTTAGTTTGCACCAACCAAAGTAATGCCTAAAGCTAACTATGCTCAGCGTGCACATTCATGTGACTATGGCTGTTGACTAGCAGTTTTCTACTGGGCTAACTTTTCCTTTCCTATTGGTACGATGGTTCGATGCAACAGAAAAGCTGATTTAAAGGAAACTGAAACAAGGAAATGAGCTGTGAGCTCTGACGAGTGCAACTGGTTCTGATGGCTGCCAAAACTCCGTGACCGCTTAGAAACGTTACAGGCCGAACACTCAGATCTCACCATGTTCATGAAGCCGGGGTTACTCAGCAAACCAGCGAGATCGACTCCGCCCAGCCCTGCAGTCTGAGAGAACAGAGACAGGTTCACGTAAACACAGTGCTGTCGGGAAGTCGGGAATTTGATCCCTCATCCTGCCTCTTCTCACCGGACTGGACGTGTCCATCTTCTCCTCTGCGATCTTCAGATTGGTTTTGTAGGTGTCGTTATCTGGGTCGAGCTCCAAAGCCTTCTTATAGTAACTGACTGCTTCTGTGTGTTTGTTGAGGCTGGCCAGAGCCAAACTGAAACACAAGACGACACGTCAGGACCAGAAACAGCTGAAACCAGAACGCAAGGAGCTTCCAGGTTTTCATTCTTCGTGCTCTGATGCTGCATGTTTGTCTACTTAAACAACTGCAAACTCCTGTATAACTGATTAAAAATAAATAAATGAATAATGTCAAAACTTTGTGGAAATAACTTTGTGCTGGCTGACTTTGGTTTTATGGCTGCAGTCAGCACTAACCTTCATTTTCAGTAAATCTGCCACTTGTGTTTAATAATAATAAGTGAAAAACTTAAACACTTCATAAATATCGTAAAACAAGATTTGTTTATTTGACCAGCTTCACAAAATCCAAAGATATTCAGCTTCAGCATCAGCTTCATTTATGAAAACTGCAAACTTTACTTGCTCCTGAAATACTTTTACAAAGGCAGAGTATAAACACTCATCATCTTAAGACACAATTTTTACATTTTATTTTACTATTCAACAGATAAACCCTGAGATCTGAAGGAGCCAAACACTGTGTGAAGCTTTCTTTTCTGATGCTCCAAAGTCACTTATTAAGAAAATAAAAGTTATAGGAAAAACCAGAAATTTTTAAATTGGATCTCTTTATGGGATCCATTTGTTCGAAGAACCTGGTTTCATTTACGTTATTTTATCCCCAGTCTGTCTGATTTTAAAGGACATACAGACAATAATCCTCTGATGAGCCTTTGTTGCTAATTCGTCTGTTAAAAATAAAAAAAACTACAGCTGTGTGATGCAACAGTGTCCAGGTTGCAGATCAGAATCAGAAATACTTTATTAATCCTGAAGGAAATTATAGGTTACAGCAGGCAGCAGGCTAATGGCACATGCGCACTTACAAAGGAACCCTCTGACCAAAC